CATACTTCATAGATGGAGAGCGGAGCGCTTTGAGAAGCTCCTTAACACATAGCAAACGCAGAATGAATCCCATACGTAACAACAGGCAATGGATAGATGAAGTTACTTAAGCTGTTAAAAGCTTGAAAAGTTGCGACTGGAAACTTGCTGTGAATTGCTTTAAACGATGGGCAAAACAAAGCATGTTGTAGTTAGCACGTGATCGTGCAACTGAGACAGATGTGAGGCAAATACCAATGGAATTGGGAACAAAATTTGTAATGACCTTTTTCAAGAAGGTATATTATAGGTGGCGCTCCAGTTTTCTTGGCATCATCTTTTTGGGTTTTCCGGGAAAAGTATACACAAAGGTGCTAAAAAAGTAATGTAAAACGCGGCTATCAACTACCTTGTTGTCACGCTGCACAGTAAGAAATGGAGTAGCATACGAAGATTCGGTGGCAGAAGCAACCGGAGAATCGAATGGGAAAGATTATCTTCGGTGGACACATGAGCGAAATTTACAAACAACGTCGCACGACAGTTTGAACAGATTCCGATGATGACCACTGATGTGGAAATCGAGTGGCAACTCTTTATGAGTGGCATACTCGAGGCTGCCGCCGAATGCTGCGCATTGAAACAGCTTGGCCTGCCGCCCAGAGGTCAGAAACAAATTTCGTACTGGACGCGAGAGGTGCAACTGACAGTGAAAGAGAAGACCGCATTAAAGCAAGGAGCGCTCAACTCGCATGCAGTATGTAGAAGCGCACAAAGCGGCAGACCAACCTACATTCCTAAGAGATGTTTGGTGACGTGTTGGAGTCGAATTTCCAGACTGCAAACGATTCTGCATTCTGCATTCTGGCAGACCGTCCGCCGGCTCGGAGATGAAAAGAAATGCATTCTATGAGTCTTGAAGGACAGGTCAGCACATCGTTTAACTGAAGAATATTTTTTGGTTCACTCGTAAACACCGAGCATCCGCCGCAGGGCTGATGAGCAACTGAACGAACATCTGTAAATGAAATCAGACAAGCTATGAAATGTTAAAAATGTGGAAAGGTTGCTGGAATGGATGAATTCCGCCCTGAGGTATTGAAAGCAATAGGCGAACAAAGCGTGCGCTGGTTTACACGTATCAGTCATTCTGCAGTGGCTAGGGGGAAGACACCAGCGGACTGGAGAATGGGCGTTGTAGTACCCCTGTTCAAGAAGGTAGATCGCAGGGGTTACTCCAATTGTCAGAGCATTGCTTCGTTGAGCTTCCCAGGTAAAGTCTACGCAAAAGTGCTAGAAAAAAGGTGCCGCGGAATAACTGACTCCAAGATACAAGAAGAGCAGCGTAGTTTCCGGCTCGGCCGAAGCACATCTGACTGTATATTCGCCTTACTCCACACTGTTGAGAAATCACTTTAGTTCGTCCATCCACTCCATATGTGCTTTGTTGACCAATAGAAAGCCCATGGCCGGATCCTGCGCAACAGTCTGTGGTCATGCCTGCGAACATGTGATGGATAGACAGTTGCTATGGGCTATTCAATGACTATATGCTGAGACGAGGTGCTGCGTTGGAATAAATTGCGTTAAGTCGAGATCTTTCAGTATTGGCACTGGTTTCCGTTAGCGTTGCGTTCTATCGCCTATCCGTGTTGTACTTGAATGGAATAGTCAGGCCCATCCAGAATGATGAGTGTATCGGTATATGTGATATCGAGGCGAGAAGGTTGCTGATTGTAGACGATTTTGTTTTGTTTGCTTCTTCTGAAACGAATCTCCAGCGCTCTCTTGAAAGGTTCGAGGCCGAATACGACGTGACCGGCATGAATATGATAGCGTTTAATACGAAAAGTCTAGTGCTTTCTGATTCTCCTGTCTGTTGCTCACTTCAGATTAACGGGGAGTCAATGGAACAGGTGAAGAAGTTCAAGTTCCTCAAAGTCGTGTTTACAGGTGATGGAAAGTTGGAGAAAGAGATCGACCGACCGATTGGATTAGTCAGTGGCTTTCTAGCCAGAACCATTGTGACTAAAGCTAAACTGAGTTTAAAGAATGAGTTCTCGGTATTCAAGTTGATCTTCATCCCCATGCTTATTTGTGACCATGAGTCGTTCGCCATGACGAAAAGCTTCGATACCTGTTACAAGCAGCTGAAATGGTCTTTCTGAGAGGCATCGATTGCCTTACGCGTTTAGACAGGGTCCAAAGTACAGAAATCTGAGAGTGCCGTAGCATGCAGCCGCTGCTTCTTTAGTTTGAGAAGTTGCTGTTGCGATGGTTTGGGCATGTGTTGAAAATGCATCCGGAAAGGAAGGCGAAGCAACTACTTGTTGCCCAGCCAACCGGCAGAACCCTGACGGGACGGCCAAGATTAGCCTGGTGCAAATATATGGAAGCAGTCTGCTCTAGATTTCCGTTGTCTTCTGCCTAAGCTAAAACTCTGGCACAAGATCAGGAACGATGAAAACACTGTGTGACGCATCTGTCTCCTCAACCCAAAAGTAGCAGCAGTCATGGAAGATGATGATGAAGTAATCATGCCGGAAGAGGGCATGAGGGTATAATGGTACATCCATCAGAAGAGTGCATGAATGATCGTGTTTTATGACTCTACAGTCGCAGTTGATAGAATTATTTTATGTTAATGACATTCTTGTATTGATGCCCTTC